AGAACTATGAGAAATAAATGTTTGTCTTTTGAGCCACTCGTTTTATGATCATTTTATGATTTTTGTTATATCAGGCTGAACAGACTAAGACAATCAGGAATAAATCTGCCCAGGATGTCTGTTCTTTCCATTTCTATCAACATTGTACTGGAGATTCTACACAGGGCACTTAGGCATGAAAAAGAAATAAAAGGCATCCAAATTGGAAAGGAAGAAATAAACTCTCTTCATAAGATCTGCCATGATCTTATATAGAGAGAATCCTAAGGAACGCACATGGAAAAAATTAGTACTGATAGGTGAGTTCAGCAAGGTTCCAGGATGTATGATAAATATTCAAAAATCAATTCTGTTTCTATACACTAACAATGAACAATCCAAAAATGAAATTAATACAATTCAATTTTATTAATTAGGGAAACTTAACAAAGGAAGTGCAAGATGGTAAATACTGAAAACTATAACACATAGCTGAAAGAAATTAAAGAAGACCTCAAAAAGTGAAAAGATTTCCCATTTATGTACTGGAGGACTTAATATTAATAACTTAATAACTTAATGTTAAGGTGGTAATACTCTCCAAACTGATCTACAAATTCAGCACAATCCTTATAAAAACCCCAGCATAGTTTTGATTGGAATTGACAAGCTGACTCTAACATGCATATGGACTAAAAGGAACCCAGAAAAACAAAGTAGTAATCCCAAAAATGAAAAACAAAGTTGAAGGACTCACACTTCTTATTTCAAAATTTACCACAAAGCTAAAGTAATAAATGTAGTGTATTCTTGGCATAAGAATACATTGAGAGTGCATTGAGAATCATCTAGCATTGAGAGTGCAAAAATAAGCCCTTACATTTACAGTCAATTCATTTTCAACAAGGATGTCATAATAATTCAGTGGGGGAAAGAATAGTCCTTTCAACAAATGGTGCTGGATAGGAACATGCAAAAGAATAAAGTTAGAATTTTACCTCACACCATACATAAAAATTGATGCAAAATAGATCGTAAGTCAACATATCAGCGTTAAATCCACAAAACCCCTAGAGGAAAACATACGACTAAATCGTTGTGACCTTTGGGTTATACATGGCTTTTTTTATATGAAACCTGTCGCGGCCCACACGACATGAGCAGTGGGAGAAGAGAGGGGGGCGGCGAAGGGTTAAGAAAGAAAAGAAACAGCAGTCAAGAGTTAAATGAGTGTGGGGCCAAGGGTCTCCAGTTTCGTGGACTAAGAGCCCCGGGCCAACACACCACTTTTATTTCTCCACCCACCTAGCATTGTTCTCTCCACAGTCTGTGAGTCTCATTCCGGAGAACTTGCTCAAGCCAAATTACCCATGCCTGCAAGCTGCTATTACTGAGAGTCCGCCTGCAGCGATAAGACAGATGCTCTGCCTTCACACACCCTACACACATACGACCCCAGGAAGATAAGATTATTGTGCTGAGGACAGATACTATCACACCATCAGGTCACTTCCCAAGCAGGTTGAGGGAAGGAATGTAGCCACAGAGGTAGAAAACCTCCAGTCTTTTTAGGGGGTGAGTGAGGGCTCGTGCCCACCTCTGTGAGCCCCGAGATTTCTCCTAATGGCCTCCACACGACCGTGCCTGTCTTAGGTTGTTCCTCCCATGAGGAATCTTATCCGTCATTGACTAACTGGCCATCCTTTGGAGCCAAACAGNTCTCAGATCCGAATTGAGCCAGGGAAACTGAGGGAGAATACACCCGGAACCCAGAATGGGGCTGATGGGGACAGCTTGTCTGCAACGTCAAGGGGGGGGGGGGAGAGTTGGGGGTGATAAGTGATTACTCAGGATGGCCGCAGGGTGTGTAAGGCTGTAGGTGAGATTGGAGGAGTTACCTCACTTTCCTCATCTGGAAAACAGTGATACTCGGGGTGCATGTTCTTGCACCATCAATTTTATTTGACTATTGGAGAAGCAAAAGGCAAACCAATTAGTCTGACACATAGTTTCAGACATGTTTTTTATAAAATCATGTCTCTGTTTCTTTCTTATGGCCATGGATTTCACATGCCTTAGGGATCTTGTTTCCATACATACAATTTCAATCTCCTTGTGCAGCATTTATAGTTATACTTTATTCCTCTCCAATTTACCATGGTTTGTTCCCTGACTCCTCCAACTGGGGGAAATAAAAAGACATTAGTATGATCAGTACCACAACTTAAATATGAATCTTACCTCTTTCACTTCTTGGAAACAATTCAAAGTCGCAAATGGAGACCAAAACAGCAAACTCCAGTTTCAGTGAAATTCAGAGAAAGGAAGAGTCCACGAACTCCAAAAAACACATGGGTGCTTCCCAGTACAGTTGAGATTAGATAGGAGCATGTCTGGTAAGCAGAGGTGTGAAGGGCTGCTTAGGAGCTGGTGAAGCCTGTTAGAGGAGACTCTAGAAATAGAAAAGCTCATTCCAGAAAGGCTAGGAGCTTATCTTAAAGGATAAATGTTGGAGAGGGAACTGCCATGAAGAAAATAGAGATCAAACAGTGATATAAGGTAAAACTCATGTGCCAAGATCAGGACAGTCATATTTAAGGGAAAATTGACCGAGAAGACTAAAATACAGCTAAGTTTTTACCAAAGTTATTCGTCTATAAAATAAAGGAAGACTTGAGCATCCAGAGAAAGTTCCAAGTTGCTTAAAGGAGAGAAACTTGGACTAGTGTTAAGTTTCTGCTCAGTAATATTTAGCACCAGAAATCAGTAGAAGGATAATCAAGAAAGAGTGAAAGCCAAAGATTTCCAAAGAAAGCCACAATCAAGATGCAATTCATATATATAAAATTTAGGGTCGTCCTAAAATGAAGATGTGAGCTAGGGTGACTTGAGACCCAGAGTCAGTAATATGAAGGATAGGCTGATTTATGCTAATAGAATAAACAGGATGGCTATTAAAATATAAAAATAGCTGAAAACTAAACAAACAAAAAAACCCACGAAAGTGTTGAGTAAGCCAGCATGAATGCAAGAGGATGGAGGAAGTAAGTAGAATAAGTATATGGGACGATGGAGCAGACTTTGCATGAAAATTCTATAGGACAACTATCAATGCAGCTATTACAGAGATGAGGGAAGAAAAGACTTGTGGGGAAGAGAGTAAAATGGGAACTAAAATAGCTTATTAGGACTAGCATATGCTTCACAGTATGACAGCCCTGAAATTCCAATCCCAGTTCTGAAAATTACCATTTGTGGCCTGGAGCAAATGATATGTGCTCTATGTAAAACATATTTTACATCATCAATACCTTGATTGTAGCCTCACAACTGACAAGCCGACTGCTCCCACTCTCTGATTCCATGAAGTCATAAGGAAGTGTCTAGGAATGCTGAGACCTGAGGGAATTATCTTGGTTAAGCTTCCTTATCAGATGGTCTCGGAATGCTGAGTCCATCTCNGGCCTCTGGACGGACGCTCACTGCAGCCACTGGCCGCTCACGCTGGCTGCTGGCTACACACGGTAGCCCATGGCAACCCACTGCAACAGGGGCCGCAGCCTACGCCATCGCCGGCGACCCACGGCAGCCCAGATCCAGGTTGAGCTGTTGTTCAGCATCTTAGCAGCGGAGGGCAGTGTCACTGGCCCTCACATGTGGGATCCGAACCGGGGCCCTCTGGCGTCCCAAGCCAGCTCCCAACCATCGCGCCACTCGGCCGGCCCTCCTCTACTATTTTCTATTTCTTTGCTACTCTTCTTGCTGGTAAACTCTGCCAACTTTCTCATCTAGCCCCTCTAGTTAGTTTCTCATTACTTACTATCAACATTTTAATTCAGAGTTTTAATTTTGTAAAACTCTAGTTTGTTTTCTAAATATTTCTTTTTATTAGCATCCTATTCTTATTTCCTGGATATAATCTTATTTCTTATCTTTCTGAAGATATTCGTGATAGCTTTTAGGAATAGTTTAATTGTTTTGGATAGATAATATATACATTTTGTTCCAAAATTTAAAAAATATATATAAAGTAATACAGTGAAAAGTATTAGGTGAATGCAATGCTGGGAAAGATGGGACTGTGGTTTGCCTACCTCTGTTTCATGCTTGCCCATTAGCCCCCATGAAGATAACCAATTTTATTAGTTTTCTTTGATTGCTTAGTTTCTTTATGCAGTGAAAACAATTATAATTTTTTTTTTCTTTCCATTTCACTAAAAGTGGCATACTAGACACACTATTGCACATTGCTTCTTTAATGTTAGGTAAAATACGGTACATAATATGACAACACAGTAGTGGACATTTTTGTCATGTCTTCCCTTTATATTGCACGTATATGAAGTAGTGCAGTTTCAGTTCATGCTTTTATTTAAAGGCAGTGAGTCTCTAAACCTCAGTGAACCTCTACTTCTCTTGCTGTTGAGCACTTCTGTGATTGGGTATCTTAATTTTTATTTAGAAGAAAGGAATAATGGTGTGAGACGAAGTATAATTGGTAAAGAAGCAGCACTCACTTGTGTTAGCCAGGATAAGGGAATATTTAGCCACATATGTGGTTTGAACAACTATGATTTTTGTCCGTGCTCAGACATGATTACAGAGTGGTCTTGGTTTTTGCCTTGTACCATGGTGGTCAGAGAATGGTCTTGATGTTGTTGTTCTTTGTTTTTGTGTAAAGGAGAACACCATGACCTAGCTGTTCTTGCCTGTCCAGCTCCTAATCCGGAGGCCTGATAGTGCCAGGCCAAGTCTCTGCTGCCAGGGGCTGCTTTTCTCTTCATTTAAAAATAAGGGAATGGAAAAAATTGACTCAGAAGCAAAAACCAAAGGGTATCTAGAGCTGTAAGTTTAGGATCAGATCCAAAAGATTTTAAGATGACAAATATCCAAAGGGATGAAGAGAGATGGTTCAAACTTATAAAAGTNGTGGATTGTACCATCCTTGTTCTCCCCTCATCTCGCGGTGATTTCTCCCAGGATCCAGATAAGACGCATATAAGACCTCTATCCTTCTCCCGTGGTGATTTTTCCTGCCTGGCTCCCCTCTCCCCGGTGGTTTCTCCCAACAGACAATTGCTCGCGGCATAGTGCTGTATACCGAGGGGAAATTTAGCTTTTCTAAGTATAATATAGAGGGCCGGACCTCATAGCCAATACCTTCTCCCTCTCGGAAGCCTGCCTAGACTAGAGCCACACTCCTGTATTATGCGACAAACCAGCCTCACTCTATGAAATTCGGCAGAAAGCCTATTTCTCCGCTATACGGAATGGACATGCTTCCAAGATGGCGGCCCGCATGGAGAAGCACTATCTGGGAGTGACCATGTTCTCCGACGGCCAGCCCTTCTTACGGAAACTGCAGCGTATCTGGGCCGTGACGACTGTAGGCTGAAGGCAGCTGTCAATGTAATTCAGAGCATGCGCCATACCAACAATCCATAAGAGGCGGTGCTAGAGGTCGGATCGGAAGCGGAAGGGGCTTTAGAGGGCTTTTAGCCGCTGGTGTCTTGAGCATCTCCACATTTTAATCCTGTGAGCTTTCGAAGGTGATTTGGTCGTGTGATTAGGGATTCCGTAGGGTTGGTGATTGGGGCGGGCGGAGGTGGGGGCGTGTTGTCCGTGGAGTTAGTGATGGTGGTTTCTGGGGTCGTGATGGAGGGACAGTGGCGTCTGTTGCTGTGTGTCTGTGAGGTCAGTGATAGGCGTCTCTCGCGTCAGTGATGCGAATCTTTGAGATGAGTGTGGGATTTGTGCGGTCAGTGATGGGAGTCTGTAGTCAATGACTGAAGGCTTGTGGGATTAGGTATGGGAGTCGGTGGGGTCTATGATGAGCTTTTTAAACATTCACGAGCTTTGGTGTGTGGCATTTTATTGTTCAAATCTAAGTGTTCTTTTTTTGAAGTTTCGTGTGTGTGTGTGTGTGTGTGTGTGTGTGTGTATAGCTTCACAGATTATCTTGTCTACTTAATTACAGAGAAAGGTAAACTCACACTGGAAAGGTGATTTGTCCACTCTCCTTCCGTTAGTTTCTGCTTTGTATTTTTGAAACTATTATTAGGAATAGTTATGTGTATTTTTAATAATAGATATGACTAAATGACTCAAAAGATATAACAGTAATTCAAGCTCACACCAGCGATTTATAAAAGAGCTCATTTTCCCAAATGCCTTCCAGCACTGGATCTTTCTTTTCTTTCTTTCTTTCTTTCTTTCTTTCTCTCTCTCTCTCTCTTTCTTTCTTTCTTTCTTTCTTTCTTTCTTTCTTTCTTTCTTTCTTTCTTTCTTTTTTAAAGGTTTTACAGTTCTGAAGGGAAATTATATCTAATGGCTCCAATATTTTTTCCTGTTAGTAAAGTTGGCATCTTCTGGTTAATTGCCTTTTAAGTTTCCTTTTCTGTGAATTTTCATATCCTTTGTCCAGTTTTTCTCTGGGCTTTTTTTCATTAACATTAGAGATGACCTGTAATCACATGTTGAAAATGTATATACATATATCTTCATTTTTATTTTTCAGGTGTATTTTAACATAGGAAATATCATATAATCAGAAATATTTTTTTGGTGTTTTTGTTTTATAGCTTTTGGATTTTCTCTCATATGTNTTTTTTTCTTCATGTGGCAATTTCTTCATTTATGTTTTCCTAGAAAAGTTTTTATTTTATTAAGTATTTCAAACTGATGACTCAAAATAAATAGAATTCTCTTGAGTTAAAAAATTTTCTCTCTGTAGTAATGTTCTTTTTTCTTTCCAATATTGTTTTCTTCTATCTTCTCTATTTTCTTCATCTTTCTTAAGAATGATTTCACTCTTATAGAGAACCAGCTCATGTTTTTATTATCTTTATTAGGGTTTTGTCTTACATATTTTATTAATATCTGTTTATCATGTTAATTCTCCTTTCCAATTTCTCTGGGAGTATTTAATAGAACTTTAGTAGATTGTGATTGAATTAAAGCTTAGTGCATTTGTTTTCACTCTTTCTAGTATCCTAATAAATACATTTTAGATTATAGATTTTCTTCTGGGTATTCGTTAGATGTTTGATATATACTTCAATTATTTTCCTCTTCATTCTAAATACTTTGCAATATCCATTGTTTTGTTTTCCTTAACGCAAGGGTTATTCAAGTGTGATGTGGTCTGAGAATATGATATATGTAATATGAGTTTGGGGGATTTATAATTTGTTTTATGGCCTAGTTTATAGAGAATTTTTATGAGTGCTCCATGTATGTTTGAATAAAATGTGCATTCTCTGGTTAAAAATAAAAATATAATGTAAATATGCAATATATCAAGCAAGTTATTTGTTATCCCAATATAGCCTTACAATCTTTCTTCTATTTGATCTGTTTCTGAGAGATATGTTTGTTACTCTGATTGTGAAATCCTCAAATTTCCGTTTTGTCAGTTTTCATTGTACATATTTCAGAACTATATTGTTAGATATATGTTAATAGTGTTATATGCTCTTGGTAGTTACATCTTAGTAAAATATGGAATATCTTTGGTAATATTGTTTGTTTTGAAAACTGTATTATCTAGAACTATCAACACACCTACGTTCTTGTTGATAATATTTCCTTGTAAATGACTTTTAAATTACTTTCTTTCCTAGTTCAATTTTTACTGTGAAATTTTCATACAAATGCTAAAGGAGAAAATTATAATGAACTCTATGTACCCATCACCTGCTTCAACATTTATCAACATGCTATTATTCTCATTTTATCCCATCTATCCTTCCTCAGTGCAGTTTTGTAAAGGTAATATTTCACCCACAAATATTTCCATATGAATCCCTAAAAGAAAAGTCTTTTTTTAAACATAATTTCATTACCAACAACATTAAA